TATAATTCTTCTGTGGAAATTACTGTCTTGGCTAAGAGATCAACTTTTAGTATTTTTACCTAACTCCATTTGAAATTTCATATGGCTCAATTTTCTCAACTTAGGCTGCAAAGTTAAAATAACCTGGGTATCTTTTAAAAACATCAATGTTTAGGTCCTCCCAGAACTTCTGTTTAATTTGCTCTAGGGTTGGGCCCAAACACTGACAGTATTTTTTTTTAAATATGGTACTAATTATGTAGCTAAAGTTGAGAACCACATGATTGAAATCAAAGGTTAGTAGCTGCCATACTTCATTTGCAGCACACCACTGACCTCTATGGGTGAGGTTCTGTTAGAACTAATGATAAAAACAGCAGCCAGTCTAGAGCAGTGGTCGCCAATCGGTGGTCCATGGGCCACTGGTGGTCCGTGAGGTCCAAAAGGTTGGAGACGACTGGTCTAGAGGCCTTGTTGATAGCCTTTCTGAAGTGAACACTGAGCTTATTATAACCCAGTGCCAGGCAACCACATAACTCTAATCCCGGCCATATTTTAAGTGGGGTCTGGGTCAAATTTTATCACTCCTAGCAACACTATTCTTCCTAGAGAATAAAAGACAGACCTTTAACAAAATAATTGCAAGGGTTTCTTGTCCTCCCTCAATTAATTTGGGGCATTACAAGAGCCAGAAATGTGTTTACTACTGAAGTTAAGAGAAAAAGGCACCTGGGTTTACCAACGGGTATAGCTCAAACAGCAAAATGAAGTGGTTCATAGTGGTTACAGATATTCTATGTCTTTACTACCCAACATGTGGTCCACAAACCTGGGAGCTTGTTAGAAACGCACACTCATAGGCCTCACCCAAGACCAACTAATTAGAATTTGTCTTGGAGATCTCCAAGAGACTTATGTGCTCATTATAGTTTGAGAAGCACTGCTATGAGGCAACAATTCACTCAAGAAATGGTACTATGTATATAGATTAAGTGAAAAATTTTAAGGATTATTTTTCTCCTTAAATTAGGTCATTTGCACAGGAACATTTTAAAAGTGGCAGTCTGCCTGACCAGCGTGGCTCAGTGGTTAAGCGTCGACCTATGGTCACGGTTTGATTCCAGGTCAGGGCACATGCCTGGGTTGTGGGCTCGATCCCCAGTGTGGGGCATGCAGGAGGCAGCCGATCAGTCTCTCCAATTTACTCCTCACCCTCTAATAGAATATTCTTTACAAAAAAAGAAAAAAGGCCCATGTGTGATGCTGGCTACTATAATCTAAGGAAGTTCTAACAGTTTTTCTATCTAATGTAATACTTGTGAGAATTCTAACAGATTACTGAATAGCTATGTAAAAATAAGGAGAAACCTCATTGGTTTTAAGGGTTCATAAGAGCTAATACAAAGCCAGAAGATATAACACATCTAGCCCGTCCCGTGTGGATCAGTGGATTGAGCATCATCCCATGCACCAAGAGGTCAGCAGTTTGATTCCCAGTCAGGGCATATGCCCAGATTGCAGGCTGGATCCCCAGTAAGGAGCATGCAGGAGGCAGCCAATCAATGTTTCTCTCTCTAAAAAATCAATAAAAACATACTAAAAAAAAAAAAATGATGTAACATGTCTCTTCCCTTCCATGCTAAAATGGGTCAAGAAACAAGAGCATGCATCTATCAACAAGTGAATCTAAGAATCAAGTGAATAAATAATCTGATGAACAGAATGAACTGGTGATTATAATGAATCAGGGACATAGAAAGGGAATGGACTGACTATTCTTGGGTGGGAAAGGGGTGTGGGAGATGTGGGAAGAGACTGGACAAAAATCGTGCACCTATGGATGAGGACAGTGGGTGGGGAGTGAGGGCGGAGGGTGGGGTTGGAACTGGGAGGAGGGGAGTTATGGGGAGGGGGGGAAAGAGGAACAAATGTAATCTGAACAATAAAGATTTAAAAAAAAAATGAGAACTCTGGGAAGAAAAAAAATATGTATTTTCTGTTCTCAAATAACTTACACTCTAACAACAACAAAAAAGCAGCATTCACAAAATGATGGAAAAGCACGCTCACTGTATAACAGCAGAAATGAACATTGTGTAACAGCAGAAATGAGCACTATTTGAGTGGCTGCATGTGACAGGACACAGATGAGAAACAAAACAAAACTAGGTGGGGCTGACTCTAAAGGCTCCTGAGAATGGTTTCATGGCTAGATTTTGAAGAACAGCATAGTTTGAAAAACTACCAGGGAGAGATCTTCCAAAAAAGAAGGGATGAGCCGTAACCGGTTTGGCTCAGTGGATAGAGCGTCGGCCTGCGGACTGAAAGGTCCCGGGTTCGGTTCCGGTCAAGGGCATGTACCTTGGTTGCGGGCACATCCCCAGTGGGGGGGGTGTGCAGGAGGCAGCTGATCCATGTTTCTCTCTCATCGATGTTTCTAACTCTCTATCCCTCTCCCTTCCTCTCTGTAAAAAATCAATAAAATACATTTGAAACAAAAAAGAAAGGATGATTTGTGCAAAGGCACAGAAATGAACAATTGGACTTTAGGATGGTGAAAAAATTATATTGGCAGGAGCAGAGATTGGGATTAGTAAGATTTGGGGGAAGAGAAGATGAGGAAAATGTAACTTTGAAACTAGTCTGGAAAATTAATTTTTTTATATGATAGACAATGCAGAATCACTTTTATTTGTTGAACAAAAAACTAAAAATAACAGTAGAGGAACATTATTCTAGCAGCTGTGTGTATAATGAACTGAAGTTGGGAGAATGGACATGCAGATCAGTTAAGAGTAATCTAAACTGCTACTGTCACTACACTGTATAAAGAAAAAGGAATAGGTGAGTTCCAATAGGTAATTAAAAGGACTGGACAGAGGGAAATGACCTTGTCAATAAAATGGTGCTGAGTCAACTGGATAGCTGTGTGGAAAAAAATGAGCCTTGACTCTGACAGCTCACAACATAAATAAAAATTAAAGCGATAAATCACACAAATGTGAATGGGAAGAGCTAGGAGAGTGTCTTGATGACCTTGGAGTAGACAAAAGTTTCATAAAAAGTACTAACCATTAAAGAAAAAATTTGATGGACTGGACTTCATTAAAATTAAGAATATCTCTTCTTCAAATGACACCATTAAGAGAATGAGAGAGGTATTTCCATAGACTAGGAGAAAATGTTTGTATCCATTTTGTTTAAATGGAGCCCAAAATGTTTTCTACACTAATTTGTAAAGCAATGAATCCTACATTCTGGCTATTCACGGACTTAAACAGCAATATATATCAGACAACGGTACGGAAGGAAAACTACTCCAAACACTCTGGGATCAAATTCTACTTAGATTTAAGGTTTATTATGATTAATGAAGGAAGGAGATTCTGAAACGATTATAACACACCCATTATAAGAGTTTATTAAAGTGCTGCTCCTCCCAAATTAAAATTGTAAGATAGCTAAAAAGCAAGAGTTCCATGCTACCTGAAAGCTTGTTCACAATAAAATTTCTTACTGAGACAATATGTTAAAAAAGGAATAGGTAACTAAAAAACTGTGTCTATACAGAATCCAGGTTGCTTTTATAAAATAATCCTGCAAATATTATTTCAGTAACAGCTTTACAGCACAAGAGAAGCTGTATTTGCTACCATTATCCATAAGCTTCAACCAAAGTTACAGTAAAGGATAAAGATAGCTAAGTATGGCTCTTTGCTGAAGTCACACTGAGCTGCGAGCGGCTTCAGGGGCGTCTTTAGGAATCAGCAATATGGCAGAAGACATCCAGACCAAAATCAAGAACTACCGGACTGCTCCTTTTGACAGCCACTTCCCCAACCAGAACCAGACCAGGAACTGTTGGCAGAACTACCTAGACTTCCACCACTGTGAGAAGGCAATGACTGCTAAACGGGGTGATGTCTCTGTGTGTGAATGGTACCGGCGTGTGTACAAGTCCCTGTGCCCCATATCCTGGGTTTCAGCCTGGGATGAACTGCCGGGCAGAAGGCACGTCTCCTGGGAAGATCTGAACCAGGCATCCCCCATCCTTCTCCCAGGAAGGTGAAGGGGGGCCTGGGTACATCCCACCCTAGAATCCTGAATCATGGCTTAACTGATAATAAATACTTGTTGGAAAAATGTAAGACTGTGTATGTGTAAAAGAGCTGGACTACTGGGCAAGAACCTGGGTTGGAAATAGTACCTGGACCAGTAAGAGGGGCTTCAGAGTGAGTATTTTTTTAAATTTTCTTTTGTTTTTAATTTTTGTTTTATCAAAATTTGACCACCTTTTCTGTGCCAGACAATACAATGAATGATTATATGAAATAGCCTTAAGTGCCTGTATATGCTGTTTATGTGTATGTTCCCTCAATTGTCAGCTAATTTTTAAAACTTTTCTTAGGTAATGAAAATAGTATAATAAAAACACATATATGCCCGGCTGGTGTGGCTCAGTGGTTGAGCGTTGACCAGTGAATCAGGAGGTCACAGTTCAATTTCCAGTCAGGGCGTATGCCCAGTTTGCGGGTTTGATCCCCAGTGTGGGTCGCGCAAGAGGCAGCTGATCAATGATTCTCTCTAATCATTGATGTTTCTATCTTTCCCTCTCTCTTCCTCTCTGAAATCAATAAAAAAAATGTATTAAAAAAAAAAAGATAGCTAAGTGTGCATGTAGGCTTTTTTCCCCCAAGTTTTCAACTCTGGCAAGATTTCTAGTCTCAGTTTACTGAGACTTAAGCAACTTTCAAACTTTATTAGTTTAGAAGATCTTCATAATTTTCTAAACCATACTCTTATCAACTCCCAGATTAGAAGCAAGGGGTCTTTCATCCATTCTGTGGTCTTTCACCCATTGTGTGCATGTGTGGTCACTGCTATTCAGACAGAGCCCCCAGGGCAGTATAGTAGAGGTTTGCTGTCCAATTTGCAAACCTACTAGGTATAAAAGCATGAGGAAGACCAACTCTGTCTAAGCAAGGGGACATTTCACACTCAAATCCATTTCACCTGCTCACCTCCCATGATGTATTGGCAAGTGTTTTCGATGGATTCCGTGACTTCCTTCCACAAAAGCATTGGGAGGCTTGTGGTACACAGAGGCCAAAGAACCAATGTGGCAGATTAGCTCATCCAGAAGAGTTGGCTCAATAAGATCTGTCTCCTCAGAGATCAGTGGCTTCTCAGACAAGACTACTTCTTTGGCTGTGACAGGGTCGGTTGAGAGAAGCCGCCAATAAATATAGCCCCTATCTCGAAGGTCAGGATTATCAGAATCCTAATGAAAAGAGAAAGGCAAGGAGGTTTAAATGAAGCTGTTCAGAAACCCAAACTGCTGGATTTATTATCAAGGCAATGCTGTAGTGACTTATACACTGTGGCTCTTAAGACTCAACTTAGACTCAATATAGTTTTAATAGTCATAATTCTATTAACTCTATGTTTCAACGAATCTAAATATAAATTGAGATGGGTTACTCTTAAAATTCAAAGTCAAGTTGGGAAAAGCAAAATAAAGTTTAATCTAGTAAAAATTAATATATGTAATGGCTTTGGGAGATAAAAATGTTTTTCAACTGCTATAAATATTAGGATTATTCATGAAATACATCTTATATATTGTACCCACACCTTCTTTCTTCACTCAAATATTTAAGTATCTCCTATGGAGACACTGTCTAGACCCTGGAAATAGAGATAACAAACAACAGTGTCTGACTTTAATGAGCTCACAGGGTACTAATTATTACAATTTAGTATGAGATGTGACTATTTTCTAAATAATAAAAAAAACTGTTAAAGAGAGCACATGGTGACACTTGAAACTTAATGGTCTTGTTTTTCTGTGGTCGTTTTAAAACAATTTCTACATGCTCATCACTAAAAAAATGTTTTATCAATGCCACATCATGATTTAGAAGTGTATAATATAAAAATAAGTCTCTCCAATCATCTGGCCCTTCCCCACCATTAACTCCCCATCCCCAAAATAGCCATGTTAACAGTGTGTTATTTATCTTTCCAGACAGCTCCCACACATTCGCATATTAATTTTATACAAAACCAGTTTCATACTATATATACTGTTCTGCAAGCTGCTTTCCACATTGGCACATACAGTTGTAGTCTGCCACTGTATATGCAGCACTCATTATTACTTAACTGGTGCCCTACTGATGGACATTTAGATTGTTGCCTATCTATCTATCTATCTATCTATCTACCTATCTATCTATCATCTATGTTTGTGATCATTAAAAAGTGGCAATAAATATCCTGGTATGTACCTCTGAGAGTTAAGTCTATATGGCGGCATTTATTTATGCACAAGTTGTTCCAGTGGTATCATGTTATTAAAATGCAACAATAAGTCCTTGTTTCAATTTTTGTATTTAAAACTCACATACAAAAAGTTTCTTTATACTAGGCCAATTTGAGGGCTTCCACATGAGTTTATAAAATGAACAGGTTCATTATTTAGCCACCTAAAGCACATGTAATTTAGCTCAACACCAGCAATGATCCAGGTGGTTTTGACTACATAGTTTTAAGTGGTTTTTCTTAGTCATATATTTTTGGTACTTACCAGCCATAAATATTGGGTTCTTATTTCACAAACTTGAGAAAAATATCCCAACTTCCAGTAGAAAAGAGTTATATAAATGTGGTTGTCCTTTTATGCTAACTACTCAGATACCATTAATTGGACAGAAAAGGCAAGTTCAGAGAAACTGCTTAATAATTATTTATAGCCAAATATGAAATAATTATCCACAATGATATGAAAATTACTAAGGTCACTTACACATGTTGGCTTATACACAATAGTGTTTCTGGCCGGGAAAGCAGGGAATGGGTATTCTCAAAGTCATTCTTAACTTTCAGACCAGAAAAGCAGCATAACACAGTGGATAAGGTCAAAGACTCTGGAACCAGACTACCTTGATTTGAGTCCTAGCTCCACCCCATACTAACTAGGCCTATCTGTCTCAGTTTCCTCATCTATAAAATAGAGTAGTAGCAGTATTGAGATTGAGCTAGCATGTGAAGTGCTTACTAGAATGCCTGGTACATAGTAGTAATCACTATACAAATGATTGTTGTTATGGTTTATTTATACCCTGCCCTGTTCTACAAAGAAATTTAGTGAAGTTTACAAAAATGCATTTAAGGCTAGAGAACACAAATTAGGAAGATAAATGCATGCCACAATGACCTACACATTTTCTACAGGAGATCCTTACATTTGATTCTAAGGTTTTGAACAACTGATTTAAAAAAGAAATCTAGTCAGGTAAGTAATTTAGAGGGTCAGGTAACTACACACCAATGCATAGGAAAATCTAAAACTGGTTAGGAATTTGTTTGATGGAGCCTCATAAAGAAGAAAACATAATGAAATGAACAATGACTTTGACAACAACAGATCCACATAGGATAGCTTCCATGACAACACTTACTACAGGATGATGGTATCAGTATGGGGTGGGCAACAGTAGATTTACAGTTGTGGGTATGCAAAACACAGAGTTAATAAAGCTATTGTAATAACCATAACCTGCATGTCTTTTTCCATGCAAACAACTGTACTAGTATAACTGTAAACCTATTTTTGCCCAACCCTGTACATAAGAGTCACTATTTTTATATTTTACAGACCTAAGACTGGTGAACCTTTCTAATTAAAACCTCCACAAATGGGGAGTTTCATACAATTTAAAATCAACCCCACGCCTTTTCCAGATTTCTTACCTGTGTTGCCAAACTCAAGACCTGCTGTACCAGCTCCTGTGTTTCTGATGGTTTCTTGAGAAACAGCTTCACTATGGCAGTAAGCAGAGTGAGCTGCACCTAAGCAGACATAATTTAATAGATAAAGTGAAAGCCAAAACCGGTTTGGCTCAGTGGATAGAGCGTCGGCCTGTGGACTGAAAGGTCCCAGGTTCGATTCCGGTCAAGGGCATGTACATTGATTGCGGGCACATTCCCAGTGGGAAGTATGCAGGAGGCAGCTGATCGATGTTTCTCTCTCATCGATGTTTCTAACTCTCTACCTCTCTCCCTTCCTCTCTGTAAAAAAATCAATAAAATATATTTAAAAAAAAAAAATAGATAAAGTGAAAGACATTAGCATTATTCATAGCATCACTTCCAAAATAGTAATTCCAAAATAAATTACTATGGGGTCTTTCTGATTTTGATTAAGAGACAAAGATTAAAACTGAGCCAGTATCAACAATATCAGTCAAAGGTATCCATCAACTGAAAACTCAATAGACTACTATTTCCAAATTGCATTTTTTGGCATCAAAATTGCTTATCTGGCCCTAACCGGTGTGGCTCAGTGGATAGAGCGTCGACCTGTGGACTGAAGGGTCCCAGGTTCGATTCTGGTCAAGGGCATGTACCTTGGTTGCGGGCACATCCCCAGTAGGGGGCGTGCAGGAGGCAGATGATTGATGTTTCTCTCTCATCAATGTTTCTAACTCTCTATCCCTCTCCCTTCCTCTCTGTAAAAAATCAATAAAATATATTTTTTTAAAAATTGCTTATCTGTTTCTGACCCAGATAATTACCTATATTTCTGAAAGCACATGCTAACATTGTGAAGATAATAAAACCGGTTCCTGACCCAGTCCTTTATTATTTACTTCCACCAAGAGCTACAACATTGATGCATATATGCATAACCCATGGACACAGACAATAGGGTGGTGAAGGGGCGGGAGGCTGGGGAAGGCTATGGCGGTCAAATGGGGGGAAAGAGGGGACATACGTAATACTTTCAATGATAAAGATTAAAAATAATAATAATAAATAAAATAAAAACGGGGAGAAAGAAAAAGCTACAACTTTGGGAGAACTAGGGAATCATCGGTCATACTGGGGCAAGAGCAGAGACAGTAGAATTATGCCAGATCACAGCCACTTAAGAGTGGGATGCTGAACCACAAAGCTCCTGGCTCATATGTGTTCCTCGTAAAGGCTTATTACAAACACTGGTGGCCCTGGCCAGTTCTGCTCAGTGATTAGAGTGTCGGCCTGCACACCAAAGAGTTCCCAGTCAAGTGCACGTACCTCGGTTACAGGTTTGGACCCCAGCCCAGGTTGGGGCATGTGCAGGAGGCAACCAATTGATGTGTCTCTCTCACATTAATGTTTCTCTCTTCCCTCTCCCTCCCTGCCTCTCTCAAAAAATAAAATTAAATTTAAATTAAAAATAAAAATACTGGTGGATTACTTACATAAACTTTAAATTGCAGTGAGTGCAAAAGCTAGGGGGGAAGGATTTAATAATTTATCTGCTTCTCTGGGCTTCGGCCCTAAGTTCAGGTCTCTCACTTTTGGTACAGGAGAGATAAAGTGGAAAGGAATCCAACCATACACAGAAAATCTTTTCAAACTGCACATGCCAGCCCTTACGGAAGTCCCAGGTGAAAACACCCACTATAATAAGCTGTTAACAATTACTAACAGGAATGGGTAATCATCTTTGGGTGGCAGAAAATGAAAAAGTGGTAACTACTGCTCTAAGCCAGTAGTTGTCAAAGTGTGGTTCTAGAGCAGCAGCAGCAACAGCAGCACGACCACCACCTCCACCATCACCACCACACTGAGCCTTGTAAGAAAGGAAAACGCTTATTAGGCCCATCTCAGACCTACTGAGTCAGAAATTCTAGGGATAGAGGCCCATCAACCTATGCTTTAACAAGTTTTCCAGGTATTTTTGAGGCTCACTGAAGTTTGAGGACCACTGGTCTAAGTTAAGTTGCTTTGGTTCCACCAGAAATCAGCACAACTAAAATAACTCGAGCCTTTGGGAGAAAAGTATATGTATAAACCTCTCTCACATGAAACTACTGAACATTTACTTTCCCTAAAATCTTCCCCAGAAGATCTATGACATAGGAAACAGATGGAAACTTACCTGGGTGCTCTCATCATGAAAACCCTCCAGGAAGCTCTCTAGTAATTCATCTGCATTGTCAATTCGTTCAGCATATTCGCCCACAATCCAAATCATAGCTGCTCGCGCATCTGGCTCATCCAGCGAGTCTAAGTTCTCACACAGAGTGGCAATGATGCTTTCATACCTGATACAACAATGATGGCAAAACTGAGAACTCTACTTAACAATAAAGCTAACAGGTAAAACCACAGACAAGGTCAGACAAGGTACTCTAAACCTAACCACCAAAATATAGAGGCTTTTTAGTACAGGATTACACATGTATTAAATTTTCCTTCAATTATATTTAATAAATAGACCTTAAATGCTTATAAAAGCTCATCAAATATTCCTTTCACAAGGAAAAAATAACCTGTGGTATTAGGTAATACCACTACGGTATATTTCTAAAAATCTTTCCTACATGATCAGAGAATTTTCCTATCTATTATTCCATTTTGCCTTCATGGTAGATGAACAAATCCCACTCCACTATTAGGAAAATGGAGTTAGATAACAGCATCCAGACTAGAAACAGTAATTTTGTCCCTTAATCCACATCTCTCTAAAAAAATGTTTTTATTGATTTTTAGAGAGAGAGAAGGAAGAGGGATATAGAGATAGAAACATGGATTGACTGCCCCCTACTGGGGATCAAGCCTGCAACCCAGGTATGTGCCCTGACTTTTTTGTTCATGGGTCAATGCTCAACCACTGAGCAACACTGGCCAGGCAATCCACATCTCTTTTTATAGAGATTTTTATGTTCTTCTCTCCCAAAGTACCTGCACTAATGATGTTTTTCTCCAAAGAAACAATTCAAATATTTATTTTTAATTTTATAGGTCTATAGCTCTCTCACTTTTACCATGTCGAATCTATCTCCTTGGCTAATGTAGTTTTAAACATCAAAATGACATTATCTAATATATTAGAAGTAGACAAATAAATAATACACTTCATTGTTTGCTCTACTTCCACTGAATAAATCAGGTTTTTGATAATACTTTCTTAAAATTAAACTGTCATAGCCCCTTACTAACACAAATCAGAAATGGACACATTTCTCCACCAATCATATTGTGATTATACATCTCCACCCTTAATCAAGAAGTTTAGAAACTCAACATTCCTCTTTTCTGGAGAGTGGCAAAAGTATATGGTTCTTTTTCCAAAATACCATTTTCAAAATTTAAAAAATATACATAAAACCAGAGGCCCGGTTCACAAAATTCGTGCACTTGGTGGGGGTCCCTCAGCCTGGCCTAGACCCTCTCACAGTCCAGGAGCCCTTGTGGGGATGTCCGACTGCCACGGAGGTGGGAGAGGCTCCTGCCACCCTGCTGTGTTCGCCACCCGTGAGCCTGGCTTCTGGCTGAGCGGTGCTCCCCCTATGGGAGCACACTAACCACCAGGGAGCAGCTCCTGCATTGAGTGTCTGCCGCCTGGTGGTCAGTGCGCGTCATAGCAACTGGTCGTTTCACCGTTCAGTCGATTTGCGTATTACCCTTTTATTACATAGGATGCTTAATAAACCACTACTTTGCTAAAATATTTCTTCTAATTTTGAGTTCACCAGCAAGCTAACTTACTGCAAGTTGCTTCATTTAACACTATGTTTAGTAACCAACCAGAAGTTTCAGCACAAGGTATCTCTATAACTTTAAAGCAAAATGTAATTTAGGATGCTTACAAGACCTGGTCTTACTAGTATTTCACTCTTTCAGATTCCTTAATTGCTTGCTTTCAAAATCAATTCTAAAAAAAGTATTTTTGCTTCATAAACTAAGAGGCCTCAATGTGAAAAGTATGTGGGGTAAAAATGTAGATTTTATAGCTACATACATGGGAGCAACAAGAATACTTCAGAAAAGACCTGAGACCCTGGTAATTTACTGTTATCTGTTCTATAATTTTCCACAAAGTACTATGTTACATGCAAAGTGAACAGCCCAGCTGTCACCTTCCTGGTTTTTATAGTAGGGCAGTCAGACAATTTAATCATCCAAACTGAGACATTTCTGAGAGTGAAAGGGGGCACAATCATTAATTATGCCAGGTAACAGGTGTAAACTGGGATCATACATGGACAATCTGAAATATATGGGTATCCTATTTAATAGTAACTTCGCCACCAAAGAATCTGATTAACTTCAACATATGCCAATCAACAGTGCATATTTAGAGCTTCAATTCTTCTAAAAGTAATAAAGCAGGGTGAAAAATTAGGTTTTAATCCCTGTGCTAACTACCTTATATGTTTCTGATTTTTAATAAAGTATCCCATTATGACCAATTACATTACAAAAAATAATTCTTACCTAGCCAATTTCAAAGTGCCTTACTTAAACATTTCTTAAATGATTTTAGGAAGAGGGGTAGAAGTATTTGGACGTACTTGTTGGGATACTTGCGGAAGATGTCCCTGATGACAACTATCGCCTCTTGGACCACATAATTTACTTTGGTTTGGATGAGATCAAGCAATGTGCTCACACAACGTTCTGCAGATTGCTGTGAAGAGGAACATAATAAATGAGAAGTTAGATGATCTATCCAATAATACAACCTCAATATAAAAAAAAATTCTGAAGCATACAGGCATATCAACTAAACTAGACTAAAAGATCAGGCACTTAAATTGACCAAGCAATCCTAGAGGCTGGGCTATCTGATGGAGATATATAGAGTTATAGATATATACAGACATATACTGACAGGTGAGTCCATTCAAATGAAAAGAATCATCTTATATATCCAGGAGAATAAAATGGGAAGAATAAGGCAAAGTAGAAGGTCTTTATCTGGAGTTCATGGGTAAGTGGAGACCAGAAAGGCAACTTTAAAACTCTTAAAATGTAATTGCCAAATTTTATATATGCATACAAGCATATTTTCCAGGAGAGAGTCCAGAGCTTTCTTGGTAGTTTCAAAGTTATCTGTGATTCAAAAAACTCTTAAGAAAAACTTGCCATCTTTTGGGTTATATACCTAAAAATCTATGGCCTTAGATAAACTGCAATTTCTCAGTTTATAATTCATCTATAAAATAGAATTTAATATAGTAAACTTTCATTGATAAAGGGAGTATGAAAAAATACACAACAAAATTAATATATTGAAATTGTAAGTCATAATTTTTAAAAGGAGATGGGCTCCAGATGAGAAATTCTAAAAATCAAGAACTGGTGTGGTTCAGTGGTTGAGCATCAAGCCATGAACCAAGAGGTCATGGTTCCAGTCCCAGAAACTAAAACCAGAAACATGATTAAAATGATTCCCTCTCTAGATAAGAGGAACCAGGGATAGCTACTTTTCATTAAAAATTCTTTAACTATGAGGTTTATTATTTTGATAAACTTTAAAAATGCATTTTAAAGAAAGAAGTAAAGAGAACACTCAGAATCCCATAACATGATCACAACTACCACCAGACACTTGCCTCCACCTTGATGGCACACCGTCCAATGGCCCGTACAGCTTTGCGAACAAAGTCAACATCCACCTCCGTGGCATATTCCTTCAGCTCTGCCAGAACCTGTTAAAAATCCAGGAAGTGAACAAACACCAAGGATTTTAAAACAGCAATTTAACAGCCTAGCTTTTTCTGAAGGCCAGACCTTAAGATCTAAGTCATTATAAACTTGAGTCTACAAAAAGTCTGACCTGAGCAATATTGGCTTGAGATGCCAAACGAATCATGATGTCCAGCTTCTCTAGTTTAACATAGATGGGATCATTATACTTCACAAAGAAGACTTTGATTTCCTGCTTTAAGATTTCAGGCCTGTGATACATAGAAACACAAGATAAGGAAGGTGAAGCATTTATAGATATTTCCTGAATCTGTGTTAGTATCTAATCTATGCCTCCCTGCTCTCCTCCCACCCTACTCTCCCTCAGGAAAAGAACTCAAAAACTTCCCTTTCACCCATCTACTCAGTTCCATTTAGCAGACTAGTTTTATCCCTTAAAGAGTCAGGGGTACATGCAGTGAAAAACTGCTAGAACAACAATCTGGTTCTAAACAATGACCTGAACCATATTAAGCAGGCACTAGCTAGTATGCTATTAAGAGACCCCTCAGAAAACAAACTGCATTGTAGAGAAACAACAGGCATTTATTATAGGAATACTCCAAAATCAATTGTGAGTTAGCCTCCTGACCCAGAGCAAGCTGTTAAGCCATACAACATTCTCATTTATATGCATTAAAAAGAGATTAATACTGGCCTCTTTAATATTGGTATTATTAAACTTAATTCAAAATGACAAACACTTTAATCACCAATTCACTTTTTCCCAACCTTTTCTGAACAATTAGGTTGATGTTCCTCAGGGCGACATACTGCACCTCTGGCTCCCCAGACAGCAAAGTGACAAGTGGAGGGGCCAACTTCTTCAGCAGCATATTATAGTAGTCAGAGTCCTTGGGTAACAACTCTAGAAATTTCATTAGGACTTTTACTGCTGAAAGCACCACTGCTGAGTTGGCATGAGATAGCCGGGGAGTTACCCGCTCACAGATGCTGAGGGATAAAAAAGGAAAGTTATCACCTTAAATTAAAATTTCTTTGCTCAATACAGTCTATAAGGCAATATGTCAGAGCCCCATGGGCCAAGAAATTACAGAATCAGTTAGAAAAGTCAAAGCTCCATGCGTAGGTAAAATTGTAATCCAACATTGCAGAAGCCTCATTCCCAGCAAACTACAGGCAGAGCAGGGACATCAGAAAACTTTAGGAAACCAGCAACAAGGGGTTTTCAAACTGGAAGGAAACTAGCCAATACCCCAAACACTTGAAGTTCACACCATTTACCTTCTAGTTTTATAGTCCTCTCTGTCTCCCCATATTATGCAAGGACTCCCTGCCTCAACCTACAGGAAGTCAAATTAAGCATTCTGAGAGTGATTTCATACTGACAGGTATCAACCAACTGTGGTTGAAGATTTCACTGTTAAAATGCAGTAGGAGGTGGGTTGACAAGGAAAACTACCCAAACCTTTGCCTTCAGAATAATAAGGGAATCTCTGAAAGGTTTTTTTTAACAGTAGTACACCATTGCAATATTCTCCCAATCTATTCCCATTCTTCTAGCCCCTACCACCCACTTCAATGCCTCATGAAATCTTGAATATTTAATTATCTGTGGATGGGTCTTCAGAAATTAACCTAATTTTAATAGCTCTCAGGCAATGTAAATGGCTACTGATTATATCCAGTTAAAGATACAAGATAAATATACTGTTTCTTTCCCTCCTTGCTGCATCTGCTTGGCTAACTCCCTGACCTCCTTCAGGTCTTTATACAAATGCCACCTTCTCAGTTAGGCCTTCCCTGACCACCCTTTTATAAAATACGGCTCATCCCAATGCCCAGCATATCTTAAGATCTCTTCCCTACTTTACCTTTTTCATCAACACTTATCATCTGACATGTGATATTTATCTTTATTTCTGCGCCATCCCTCAGAATGAGTGTTCTACGAGGGCTATGATTTATCTGTCCACTGTTGTATCTTTAAGGCCTGTAACAGTGCCTAGTACATAACTTGGGCTATATTTCCTGAGTGAATGAATGAATAAGTGTGAGATGTCAATGACCAACAGAAAATAAATTCTATGTAAAGTTCTTTCCAGAAGATATCTGTTCTTCTAATGATTGAAATAAACTACTAGGGTGAGCTTTAGCTACTAAATTCAGAGGGAACAATTTCCCAGACAAGCAAAGAGCACTTATGTTATAGAAACTTGAGCTTCAGCCAGGCAAGGAAGGTTCTTATCTACCATATTAAAATATGTCAACTTAATAAAGAGCCAACATTTCTTCAGAAGAGCCAACATTTCTTCAAAAGATTGCGAGTTTAGCCCTGGCTGGTTTGGCTCAGTGGATAGAGCATTGGCCTGAGAACTGAAGGGTACCAGGTTCAATTCCGGTCAAGGGCACGTGCCCAAGTTGCGGGCTTGATCCCAATGGGGGGTGTGCAGGAGGCAGCCGATCAGTGGTTTTCTCTCATCATTGATGTTTCTATCTCTCTCTCCCTCTCCCTTCCTCTCTGAAATTAATAAAAATATATATACATTAAATAAAAAAAAAGATTGCGAGGTAAATTCCCAGTCAGGGTACATGCATGGGTTGAGGGTTCAATTCCCAGTTGGGGTGTGTATCGGAGGCAAGCAATTGATCTCTCTCTCTCCCTTTCTCCTCTCCCTCCCTCCCCCTTCCCCTATCTCTAAAATCAATGTACAATTTCTGATAGTCAAAGAAAATTTGAAACACTACAGTGGCCAAGGGCTGAGCAGAATAATCCAGGTGTGCCTCCCAAAATTTCCAAATTCAGACTGACATGATTTCTATAGTAATGGAAGACATCATATATTTTGCTGGCTCCAACACACTTTCTCTAGTACTGAATTATAGACACAGCTCAACTCAATAACTAGTATAAAGCCAATTACTATGTATCTGATCGAATAAAAATTTTGTCACTACAGTGAGAGATACTCACAAACCTTTCTTTGTCATATGGCCTTAGAACTGTTGTATGGGAGATGTAAGGCGATGATGATATAGCACAGCGTAACTATACTGTTCAAACAAGAAATGAAAAACACACATCTCTTAGAAAGAACTATTTTTGCATGGTTTACTCCACTACCTAAAATGTTCCTAAAAATCTGGTAAGAAAATACCATGGGGATAGCAGTATCTATCCCATAAGCCACTGATCTTCAACATATTAGTCTTTTATTCTAATATAAACACTAGAACTTATTAAATCAGTCAAGACTCCCAGATACTATCCAGAACACCAGACTGACCTCTGAGCCTCCCGGTCATCTTTAGGGTTGTAATTGGACAGGCAGTCCAGGATGAAAATCTGGCCCCATTCAGTACACTCATTCAGGGCTGTCAGCCGCTTATTAATGTTCTGTGGGTTCAGATCGAGTAAGTTGCTGTTTGGGTGAGATTCACTGATTTCAGATAATGCTGCTACAGCATTAGCCACCACCTGGGAAAGAAGAAGATATTACCTTTATTTACCAAGAACAGTACAACCATAGACAACTATAATCTCTCAATCACAAACCTCAAGTCATTCCCGAATGTTTTACCTAGTCTATTAGAAATAGATAAACTACTTTTAAAACATATATTAAACCTCCAATGATGGCATATACAGCTTCCTAGTGGTCAGACAACCCAGAATTAAAACAATTCATATATTAGCAGAAAGTCATACATAACTTACTATTAAAACATTAACAGTATTAGTAGTACTCAAAACTATCAATAGAATCAAGACATGAATAGATAAAAAAAAGCAGTGAAGTTTCAATATAAAACACATAATTTTATAGATGAATGGGTATGCATGTATTGGGGGGAGGGGAAAGTGGTGGGGAGATGACACCATCAATCATATCACAAGTCTTAGAGCAAGAAAGTTTGAACTTGAAACCGTAGATCCCTATCTATATATATAATCTATATATAAAAGGCTAATATGCAAATTGTCCCCACGGGAGTTTGACCAGCAGACGGGGAGTTCTATCACTCACTATGACGTGCACTGACCACCAGGGGGCAGCGTGGAACAAAGGAGGGCCCCGGCTGGCAGCTGGGGAAGGGAGGCCCAGGCCAGCAGCCAGAAGACCCCGATCGGCCCTGATCGCTGACCAGGCCTAGGGACCCTACCCATGCACGAATTTCATGCACCAGACCTCTAGTTATATGATACTGGGAGGCACATAATCTCTGTGAAATCTAGTTTACCTGAGCAATATTGGCTTGAGATGCCAAACGAATCATGATGTCCAGCTTCTCTAGTTTAACATAGATGGGATCATTATACTTCACAAAGGAGACTTTGATTTCCTGCTTTAAGATTTCAGGCCTTTTTTGAACAATTAGGTTGATGTTCCTCAGGGTGACATACTGCACCTCTGGCTCCCCAGACAGCAAAGTGACAAGTGGAGGGGCCAACTTCTTCAGCAGCATATTATAGTAGTCAGAGTCCTTCAGTAACAACTCTGGAAATTTCATTAGGACTTTTACTGCTGAAAGCACCACTGCTGAGTTGGCATGAGATAGCCGGGGAGTTACCCGCTCACAGATGCTCTGAGCCTCCCGGTCATCTTTAGGGTTGTAATTGGACAGGCAGTCCAGGATGAAAATCTGGCCCCATTCAGTACACTCATTCAGGGCTGTTAGCAGCTTATTAATGTTCTGTGGGTTCAGATCGAGTAAGTTGCTGTTTGGGTGAGATTCACTGATTTCAGATAATGCTGCTACAGCATTAGCCACCACCTGGGAAAGAAGAAGATATTACCTTTATTTACCAAGAACAGTACAACCATAGACAACTATAATCTCTCAATCACAAACCTCAAGTCATTCCCGAATGTTTTACCTAGTCTATTAGAAATAGATAAACTACTTTTAAAACATATATTAAACCTCCAATGATGGCATATACAGCTTCCTAGTGGTCAGACAACCCAGAATTAAAACAATTCATATATTAGCAGAAAGTCATACATAACTTACTATTAAAACATTAACAGTATTAGTAGTACTCAAAACTATCAATAGAATCAAGACATGAATAGATAAAAAAAAGCAGTGAAGTTTCAATATAAAACACATAATTTTATAGATGAATGGGTATGCATGTATTGGGGGGAGGGGAAAGTGGTGGGGAGATGACACCATCAATCATATCACAAGTCTTAGAGCAAGAAAGTTTGAACTTGAAACCGTAGATCCCTATCTATATATATAATCTATATATAAAAGGCTAATATGCAAATTGTCCCCACGGGAGTTTGACCAGCAGACGGGGAGTTCTATCACTCACTATGACGTGCACTGACCACCAGGGGGCAGCGTGGAACAAAGGAGGGCCCCGGCTGGCAGCTGGGGAAGGGAGGCCCAGGCCAGCAGCCAGAAGACCCCAATCGGCCCTGATCGCTGACCAGGCCTAGGGACCCTACCCATGCACGAATTTCATGCACCAGACCTCTAGTTATATGATACTGGGAGGCACATAATCTCTGTGAAATCTAGTTTCCCCATCTGAAAACTAGGGAAAATTTAATCTACATCCCAGCTTAGCTTTAGTTTGAGGATAAAATCAGATGACATACATATAAATTCTTTCTACAAAGCCTTATGCAAAATAAAGGTGGTAAAATTACCATAACTTATCAGTTGCAGAGTTTTCACATATACATCTCTGAATTGGAATGCATTTTATAATCAACGGTACATCAAATTAATATAAAGTATTTTTCTCTCTTGGTAATGCAGAAAATAATAAAGCATCTTAGAATCAATGAAATATGGTATCTCAAATTTATCCTTCTTTCAGGCAGTATGATAAATAAAAAATTGCTACTGAGTAAAAGAAAGTACACTTGTATCCTGGTTACAGATATGGGATTTCATATTAGTTGAAACAAAAAAGGTAAAACACTCTACCAAACTTATAGATATTTCACATATAAAAAATAACTAACAAAAAGAATAACTAACAAATCTACAACCAATGAATGTAATTTAAAACTTGCAAACACACCCATCCAAATCAAAGACTATACTATGGCCCCATGCAAGTAAATTTAAAACCACATTTTACAGTGAGGATCCCAGTTGTGATAAAAAATGAGTAAGATAAGGCTCCATATAAATATTCTGTAAGTATAGGTGAGATATTATAGGAGATAGCACCTTCAGTAATTATATATATTGAAAAGATTATCTAGAACAATGGTTCTCAACCTGTGGGTCGCGACACCTTTGGCGGTCAAACGACCCTTTCACAGGGGTCGCCTAAGACCATCCTGCATATCAGATATTTACATTACGATTCATAACAGTAGCAACATTACAGTTATGAAGTAGCAACGAAAATAATTTTATGGTTGGGTCACAACATGAGGAACTGTATTTAAAGGGCCAGAAGGTTGAGAACCACTGCTCTAGAATGTCAACTCATTGTTAATTCTTACTAAAGTCCCTTAGTAAAAATTTGAGAAACTAAGAGTTGTACATTATCCTTTTACTAGCAAGAGAAGAAACCTAATAGGCATGATTTAGCTATTGATTTTAATATCCACATTATCTGGATAGTCTGTAGATTATTCCAGAATATGATTTTACCTAGAAGATAAAATCTAGAGAGTATGATTTTTTAATCAAGTAATAATACCCTTGTGATAATATCCATTATTATGTTAAGGATAATGACACCACAAAGGGAATCATCTTCATCTATAATTTAGTGATCAGAATAAAATTCAAAGATGAAAAATCAAAGGCTCATTTGATAAGTATGATTAAGGATATAATATTTTACTGGTAGTAAAACCAATCAGGAAGAATTATCTAGTCCACCTACTGCTGCATGGTGGCATGTATAAGGCTCTTTTCTGACTTAATTTTTGTTTGCTACCTCCACCATTAAACAGGGGATTTAGTGAAAAATAAAAGGCATAAAGAGTGAAATAATAATCCCCTCCATCATCTCAGTGCTTTACATACAGGGAAAAGATATTTTATTTCCCATGTACTCTTTTCTGACTTAATTTTTGTTTGCTACCTCCACCATCAAACAGGGGATTTAGTGAAAATACACTTGATAGGCCTGATTATAGTTAAAAGGATCAAAATACACCGGAAGCCCTGGCTGGTTTGGCTCAGCGGATAGAGCGTCGGCCTGCGGACTGAGGGGTCCCAGGTTCAATTCCGGTCGGGGGCATGTGCCTTGGTTGCGGGCAATCCCCGGTTGGGGGTGTGCAGCTGATCGATGTTTCTCTCTCATCGATGTTTCTGGCTCTCTATCCCTCTCCCTTCCTCTCTGTAAAAAATCAATAAAATATATAAAAAAAATATCACCGGAAGACCAAATGCCTGTTTTTGTCTACTGCTGCCAACAAATGTCTAGCCTTAGTTTCCAGTTGTCCAAAATAAACATCCTACTACAACTTACAATTTCTGCTAGTCAAATCTTTCTAATGTTAAAAACAAAAAAGTTAAATATGAGGTCTGTTAATAGGAAATGTAGAGGAAAGGGTGAGAATTGGGGGAATTAAAAACATTGGGGAGACCAAAAAAAAAAAAAAGAAAAAAGAAAAAAAAGAAGAAAAAAACGTACGGGCCACCAAAAAAAGAAAAAAAGAAGAAAAAAAAAACAACATTGGGGAGAGCCCTGGCTGTGTGGCTCAGCTGGCTGGAACGTTGTCCTGTACACCAAAAGACAGCAGGTTTGATTTCCCAACAGGGCATATGGCTGGGTTGCAGGTTCAACCCCGGGATGAGGCACATGTGGAAGGCAACAATCGATGTTTCGATGTTCTTTTTCCTCTCTCTCTCTCTCTTTCTCTCAAAAACACACACACACTCTATCTCAAACACACACAAACTTAAAAAAAACAACAACATTGGAGAGGAAAGAGAACAGAAGGATGCTGAACAGAATGAACAATTAGAATTCCTTTGTTACTGTCACAGGCTATTATTATAAATTAAACCAAGTGTACACTGCAGCTAATGAAGTATATATTCTGGTGGTTAAATAGGCAATTTTCACTTATTATCACATTAAAACAAAAGAAGGAAATAGGAAAAAGTCACTCTAATTAAAAGATCCAGCAAGATCAGATTATCTATAATAATAAAAGCATAATATGCAAATCAACCAAACAACTGAACAGCAGAACGACCATCCAGTCGACCATGCTATGACATGCACTGGCGCCAGGCCAGCCAAGGCAGGTATGATACGATTGGTCGGGGGCCTACGTGATCACCCCAGAGAGGGAGGCCCAGGCCATCCTCTGAGTGGCGTTTGATCACGGAGCCCCGTCAGGGCACATGCCCGGGTTGCAGGCTTGATCCCTGGTGTGGGGCATACAGGAGGCAGCCTGTATTCTCTCTCATCATTGATGTTTCTAACTCTCTCTCCTTCTCCCTTCCTCTCTGAAATCAATTTAAAATAAAATAAATTTAAAAGGAGGTTATATCTCTCTCACTTGAACCATCACATATTACATTTTTCATGAATTTGAACTAACACATGTAACATTTTTCACTCTAGAAACTTGGTATTTTTTTAAAAACACTACCATGAAGAGAACAATGGCCTTTTAACTATAAACTCATAAAAATTAGAGTTCCCAAGAAAGAAAGGGTTTCTAAATAAAGTTTTGTATTAAAAAATGAATTTATAAGGTTTCTTGAGTTTTATCAATACGTTAGCTGCTTTATAAAAAGTTGACATCTAGCTTTAGCTGGTTTGGCTTAGTGGATGGAGCGTTGGCCTGCAGACTGGAGGGTCCCGGGTTTGATTCCGGTCGAGGGCACATGCCTGGGTTGCAGGCTCGACCCCCAGTAGGGGGTGTGCAGGAGGCAGCTGATCAATGATTCTCATCATTGATGTTTCTATCTCTCTCCCTGTCCCTTCCTCTCTGCAATCAAGAAAAAAAAAAGTTGACATTTAGGCTACAAAAGAACACATCCATAGGGTCAAAAATATGTATTTTTAAAATTCATCTAACTTGTCAATTATGGTAAGTTCTGTTCTTTGGGGGACTGCAACTAAACATTCCTCCTCCCCATTATATCCCACTCCACCTAGACCTACTATAATATGTCTACTTTATAGATTCAGATGTTAAAAACATGTCTTTCCCTGCCTTAACTAAGAGAATTTGACAATTCCATTCAATTTGTTAGTTCCTTATAGACCCTTGGAATCTGATTTTTTTAAGGTAAGCAATTTGTGTTTTTACTTACTCGATACTATACTTACTAGAGTTAAACAAAGTGATAAAATATAATAATAGGCAAAATGTATTGAACACTTACTATGTCCCATTAATCCTCACAGCAACTCTGAGGTAGTTGCTATCAAAATCCACCTATTACAGATAAGAAAACAGGCTTTTAAAATGAATTTATAAGTATAGGATTAGAAAAATTCAGTGATTTGCTTAGTCAACACGGCCAGAAAAGGATAGTGCTTGAATATGAACTCAAGTTCTGTATCTGATTCCAGTGTCTGAGTACTAATCATTCCGCATTCAGCATTTAAGAAGTTCTGAGAGCTGTGCACTTAAACTGAGGGAAAGGAAAGAAAAATCAGAGTTGGGAGAGGACCCTATAATCACATTATTTCCAGGCAAAGGCAACATACAGATTTATACAAGCAGGAAAATTTATTCTTCTACTTCATGTATTTCAGAAATAATCAAATCCTGATAGCACTCAGAAGCAAGATTTACTATCTCTCTATATAAAACCCTAAT